TGCTTCATGATCAAAATATCACCTGTCCTCACCTACAAAGGCATAGAAGAATTGAAAGGCATCTTTCAAAAGAAGTCAGTCTATAAAAGTGCCAGTCTGTAAGATGTCAGCTACATGGTATTCTGGAAAAGGCAAACTATGAAGCTGGTAAAAGCTCATTGGTTGCCAGACCTTGAAGTGGAATAGAAATAGGTAAAACATAGAGTATTTCTTAAGGCAGCAAAACTGTTCTGTATGAGACTACAGTGGTAACAAATGTTATTATACATCTCTGAAAACTTATAGAAGGCAAATCATGAACTTTAGTTAATAATGTCTCAATATTGACTCATTAATTGTAAGAAATGTACTACGCTAATAAAAGATGGTGATTATAGGGGAAAATTGTGGGCAATACCAAGGTAGAGCATGGAAATTATATTTGGCTTGATTTTCTGTAAAACTTAAGTTGCTCTAAAAAATAAAAGTATATTAATTTCTAAAAATCTGTTCCCTAGAACATGGCTAACTCCAGCTTAGAAAAAGACATGAGAGGGATAGATATACTAAAATTAAGTGACAAAGGTTTGGGGAATAGAAGACTATGAACAAGGACTATCAAGGCTCTGAAAAAGGTCACAAAATGAGAAATTGTGTAAATTAAATGACACTGAAAATCAAGCAGGACAAACTATAATTTTTGCTAATGAGATGGATAAATGGAGAAGACTGAAATGTTTTAAATCAAAAAATAATGTTCTGAGGGCCAGCAAGATAGCTCAGCAGACTAAGCACCTGCTTTGGCAAGTGCAGGGACCAGGATTCGATCCCTGGTCCTGCATGGTGTGCCAGTCCCACTCCCAGGGTAAGCTGAGCCAGTGACAGAGCCCAGGCATGGAGGCACATGCCTGTAGTCCCAGTGCTGGGGAGGCTAAAACAGGAGGGTCACCGTGAGTCTGAGCTGTGTAGAGAGACCCTGTACCAAATACACAAATGAAATAAAAAAATAATAATGTCTGGTATTAGCCAATATTATATTTCCTGCTTGGCACAAATTATCCAACACCCACAACTGAAAGGAAGAGAGACTTAATTTGGCTCATCATCTCAGAGGGTTCAGTCTGTGCTTGGCTGACTCTAAGGTAGAGACATCAAGGTGAAAGTGTAGTGGACACCAAAGCTGCCCAACTCATGGCAACAGGAAACAGCACACATGGGATGAGTACCACAAAGAGATTTGCCTTCTAAAGGTTTTATAGGTAAACAGATGTGACTAGAGTCTATCCTCATAAGTGAAATAAATCAGACCCACATGTGTAAGTATAAGATTGTCCTCTAGTATAAGAACCTGAATGAATAAATTAAATCTGAACGACACAATAGATATAGTAAAATGGAAACAAACTGAACATAAGGAATAAACAACTGAAATGACAGAAAGGAGAAAAGATGGGAAAAAAAGGAAGGGGAAAAATCATGTAAGTATATAGACAGAGCCACTAAGGTGATTGTACTACTAATTTCTATTAGTTTTTTGAAGATAGCAGGTAATATTTAAAATTTTTACTTTGACCAATTTTATATGCTAATATCTGTAATCTGAACAACTACATTGAAGACAGCAATGTATCAACCATGGCTGAATACCTTCCATCTTGTTTTTCAAATGTGTATCATCTCTATTGTTTTATCTATTATTTTATACTCTCTTTAAACTAAATTAAAAAATATAAAAAGGACAAGGAAAAACAAGTTTTATTGAAAGGAAGAGTTAATGCTTAATCAAACAAAAAATTTGACAATAACAATACATAATATAACCACCACTGTTAATTTTCTATTCTTGCTTTGAAATTCTGTACCATTTTTATTGTTTTATGTTGTTTTGTTTTTGTCTGTGTTGTTATTTGTATTTTCTCTTTAAAATAAAAAAATTAAAATAAAGGCACCACCCCAGTGACCCACCTTGAACCATGCCCCTCCACCTGACAACACACCAGCCCTGCCGCTGAAGGGTGTAGATCT